GACTAAAGTAGAAACAACCTCTGTGGGAGGTGATCCCGCGGCAGGCTCATTCTAAGGTAACAAAAACAACAATTTTTACTTTTGTGATTTTATATACTAATGAAAACATATCCTTTGAATATTATATTAAATTTTTGACAATAGATCATCCTAAATGTTACACCCTGGACCTTTAAGGCCTCAGTTAGTTTATATTGTGTTCACATGGTTCATTTTATGAAATAAGGTCGTCAGTGGCCCAACAGCAACTTCTTATTACGTCCATCTAACCATGTTAAAGTAACCTGACAGTAATTTAAGAGCACTTATTACTACTGGTAATTATCATAACAAAGAACAAAGCATTTACTTCTGACAGCTGCTGGGCTCTGCAGGAGTAAAACATCATCTGTTTAAATAAATGTATGCTGTGGAGTCATATAATTATGCTCCCTTCACACTGATTTTCACAGCACAGTGAAATGAACTAAAGCCAGTAGCTGTCTGAAAAGTATGAAATCAATGTAAAAACTTTGAGGTATGAAGATGAAAGGATGAGGGCCCACACACTGCTCCTCCTGCGCCTTCATTAGACCACTAAACAACGTTTGGATCCACAGGGGGGGATCTTGACAGGTCTTCATCAGGTCCTGTTTGATCTGACAAAGACCCCCTTGTGGATTGAAACATTGTTTGATGGTCTAATAAATGTGTCGCTCGAGTATTGTACAGTGTGTGGGCTCCTGTCTTTTGATCCTCTGGGCCCAGAGCCTTCAAGAAAAGACTGTTGTGCTTTGGAAACTGGTTGGCAGTTGTGTAAAATGTACACAGGTTTTTGTTGCAAAATATGCAAAACCGCAGGAAATGTTATTTCAATATATATGAATATCAAGTAGGTTCTTCCATAAAAAGCAGCTCTGTAATGCTCAATGCAGTTCATGTTGAGAAATATAACCCGACAGAAATACTCACAGGACCCATGTGGTTACACTGTAAAGAAAGGATTTCAAACCAGCTTCTCACTGTTTACTAAATTACGTTTTCATTCGGAACCAGTGACATCAGATTGAATACTCTTTTTCTTGAGGATATTCATTTATATATGTGCTATTAAAGGTGCTGTAAGCCATTTTCTTTGTTAAAACAAGTGTTGAATAGCTCTACATTCCGATCACTGAGTGTCAGTGTCAGTAACATCCTCCTATATACATTTCCTGGTATCCCGTTTCCACTTATCCAATCCGGAGAGAGAACTTCACAAAGAGGCGGTCCTCAAGGGCAGGAAGCAGGCAGGTGATGTAGTGATGGATGGAGGGGGCTGCTAGTGGACGGAAGTTCAAAAATGCGACTGAAACTGTTTTGAAATGTTTTTGCTCATCTGCGTTGGTGAGTTGAGGATTTACATCGATTTACAAAGATTATCTTCGTATCTCCTATAGAAGGCCATTTTGGGAATATTTTCTCACACGTAGTAAATTAAGGGTTTATTTTGAGCAAACTAGTGTTGATGATTGGTGGAAAGACTGTGGAAACATTAAAAAAGACTGTTCCGGTGAGTTTTGTTTTGTTTGTCCGGTTTGAGGTGTGTTGGGTTGGCTGTAGCAGGTGTTGTTCTGGTCTGAGATGCTGGTGCTCTAGTGCGACATCTAGTGGCAAGTGAATTTCATATACCCTTTAATGATTAGCTTGTAACAATGTGCGGGAAGGTTTTCTAGGGGTTTTTATCGTAACTTATCAAATAATGCAGAATACTTATGTTTCTGCCTGTTCTTGTCACAGTTCAAACATCTGTGAGTCAAAGGACTATTGTACAACCTTAGCTTCACCAATAGTTTGTCTGTTCTTTGCAACTTTAATTCCTTACAATAACTGACTGTGATTTAGTTACTTCATAGTCAGCCTCCATGTTCCTGTTTCATGTCATTCAAACATAATTCTTGTTACATGTCCTGAGTTTGGAGATGTGTTGCAGCCTGGTCTTTTAATCCTCTTCCTGCCTGTCTCTCCTGTGTTTACGTTGGGTCATATCCTCTGCTGTCACTGAGTATCAGCTGGTGACCAGACAGTGTCTCTCTGTCAAGTCTCTCTTCAATGCCAGGCTCCATTTGGCAGCGCAGGAATGTAGGACAGCAGTTGCGCAACAAGTCATTTAACACTCCAGTCAAAGGAGATTTAGAAAAAAAGAGAATATGTCCACACCTGTCTGAGATGGAAGTAAAATGCCTGTGCTCACTGACGACTGGAGGAACACATCCACTGCTTCATGTATGCAGTATACGTTGAAGGTTGCTAACAATGAGCTCTGATTACTTTTAATTTGACACTGAGCTCTTCCCATATTATCCATTATTAATGAGCCCTAATGGCCCGCAGCAGTATTGATTAGGTTTTTCTTACCTCTAATCTAATCATAGCAAAGCCTTCCAGAGGGCTGTGAGGATGAGTCTCACTTTTTTTCCCTCTTCCATATCTTCTTACGTACATGGTGCGGAGGAGTTCACACGACGAGATCGAACTGGAAAACTTCACATTGTCTCTTTTCTTTTCCGAGGATTTCATTGGTTTTCTTCTCTGTCCTTACAGCTGTCACACACTGCAACTTAACATTAACTTAACTTTCAGGCTTTGTTTACAGTTGTAAGAAGCATTAAGTTATTAAATAAATATAAGTACATGTAGTCAAGTACAATACTAACTGTAAGTACAATTTTTCTATTTCTATTTCACCTCTACATAGTGTAACATCAATAAAAATACATGAAATGGAATATAATATCCATAGATCCATGGACCCATAGATTAACATGGTGGATAGAGTATTCTGCAATTACACCCCCAGATGCCACTAAATCCTACAAAGTAATCCTTTAAGTAACATTTGCAGTGCAGGACATAAAACTTGTAATGGAATAATTTTACAGCATGACTTTTACTACTTTTTTTTGAATACTTCCTCCAACACTGGTATCGTTTCTTTTCAGTTGTGTCCTGCATCATAAGCATCAGCATTGTGGGATTTTCGGCTACATGCTGAGATGTACTGTCAGCATCCCTGGTTTGATTATGGCAGGGGGAATTTGCTACACATAATCTTCCTGTTTCCTGTAGGTCTTAATTGGCACTATCAACATTGGGTCTAAAGTTAATCGGACTCTCTCCATGGTAATCCTACCTGAAGATGCACAAGTGGGGGCTACTCATTGATGTAATATGGAATCAGTCACAACTTTGGGCTTAAACTCATGACCGTTTTCAGTTGACTGTTGATTAGGAAGTTCTGTACAGGCTTACTTACGCATAATTAGGACTTATCTTGTAATTATCAGACACTTTCAGAAGTAGAGTATGTCACATAATGTATGTGCTGTGTGTACATTACGTACAGAAAGGCTGTGGAGTATAAAATGAAAGTAAGAAAAGCTTGAACCCATTCACAAAGCATAGAAGGGATTCTCAAATATGAGAAACATAATGAGAAACTTGGTTCATGGAAACATTTCTAATAATTGACCATTCCTAAGTCCCATCCCATTTTGCTCTGTGGTCCAGTGACAGCTGAGCGTTCATTACGTTAGAATGAGCCTGATTTATCTACAGATGCTGCAGGTTGTCTTCAATGAAGTCCGCCATGTTGACCCACTATTTTTCTACAGTAGCCCAGAATGGACAAACCAAACACCGGCTGTAAATAGAGCCTTTTGCGGCCACACTAGTTCTTCCTACACACTTCACAGACCGTTCTCATTCTCAGGTAGTCAAAAGAGACACAAGCGGTGTTCAGTTAGTCGCAATCTACAACTCCACCGCTAGATGCCGCTAAATACTACACACTGGTGCTATAAAAGATAAAAATGACATATAGTATATAGTAACATCTTAAGTTAGTTAATTAGCCAGTCAGTTAACAAATTAGCTAGCATTCTGCTACAGACTCAAATGCTAGCAAACTAGGTAGCTTATCTCCATTGTTAGCTATTTAGTTACATCTGATAGCTAATGTTAGCTAATTATCTAACTAATGACTAATGTTGATTAGCCAGCTAGTTAGGTAGCGTTTGCTAATATTACCTTACTTAAAAGTCCAGTGTGTAACTAAATCCTACACACTGGATCTTTAACATATGACTGTAGCACCTTATCATCTTTTAAATATCTTTTCAACAAAGCCAAGCTCATAGCATATCTAAGTACAGGAAAGGAGAAAGTGGTGGTTCCAAAAGGTCAGGACTTAGGAAGGGTCAATAATTATTAGAAGAAAACACTTTGTACTGAGGGCAAAAAGCTTTTATGTGAGTTTTATTACCACATATTCAATTATGATTAATAATTAGTTTATTATCTGCTACGTTTTATTCAATACATCAGCACTGTGTGAGGAAAAGTTTGGGCACTATAACAAACAAGGCGAGTTTCCTTCTGAAAGTCCACATTGACATTTGGGGTGTCGCTGTATACTGGTATTGCCAATAACCAGTGATATTTAAAAAATGAAAATATTGATGTCGTGTTAAGAACATGTACCTGAGTGTAATTCATTTGCCAAAAAAATAAAAGTTGAAGATGACTTGTTGACTTGATATCATTGTTATGAATTATTTTGGTCGCTGTAATCGAGTAGTAAAAATCTGACAATGTGACAACCCTGGTTCACACACATATTTGTATAGTGATTTCCAGATCTCCCCATAACATGTTGATGTGCTCGCTGATGACAGTTTGACAATATTTTCATTCAGTTTGTGGCTCAGTGTTGCCCTGACAAGATGTTCATTTACATGGATCAGTGGAGTTGCTATGGTTATTGCTGATGAGTCACTCAGTGTTGGGAGCTGATCTTATTCTGAATACAGCACAATGAGAAGATACTGAAAATAGAAGAGTGGGAACGGTTGTGTAGGCGTCGATAGAAACAAGGCAGATTTGTTTGTACACGCTGCAATTGAATATTAAATTTTTGGAGTTGGAGCCAATATGAAGGCAGCTGAAAATAGACTCCAACATATAGAAAATACACATGAAAGTTGATTGTTAAAGGTACTGGGATTTATTACTGAAGAGAGAGCGTGGATAATAAAACTAAAAGGATATCCGTTACAGTCAACATTAACAAACACTACACTTTACGCCACTCAACTGTGTCTGGGACTCCTTTAGTCAGGGGTTGACATATGCGAGAGCGAGTCAGGTTCTTCCTCCTTTTAAAGCCAAGGATGCACCAGTGTTGGGTCTCCCTGACAAAATCAAGTCTGTGGAAGTTGCTGCTGCTGTTAGCTGGGACCTTGCTCTTCTTCCTGCCTCATCCTCTTCCTCAGCTGCTCGCCGATGTCGGCTAAAGGATTCATTTTGGCCGAGAGGGTCTTCACTGCGTCACTAAACCGGCTGGTCTCCGTCTCCCTGCGGTAAAGGCAAAAAACAGGGGAGTGTAATTTCACTGCCAAATGTGTGGGATGTTGACAGAAACAAATAAAGAAGAAAGAATATGAAAGGCTGCTTACAGGAGTTTGCGTTTCTGTGACTGTTTCATCTGACTGAAATCTGTTGGCTCAGGTCTCTTCACCGGCCTGAAGGGAGGAGACAGACAGGATGACGACAGGGACAGTTTACAAGCAGTCGAGAACAAAAAAAACCCCAAAAAATAGTAATTTTAAATTTTAAATTTGTGGAAGATAAAAAATGCTATTATAAAGTTATGTTTTAGAGTAATTATAATGATTGGATTATTACATTTGTGGTCTAAAGAAATATTACTGGTCCACTGATCCCGATTAAAACTATAAAAACTCCCGGATGATGCTGCGTGCATTCAGCTTCTGAATGGCTCTGAGATGCTTTGGTCATCCAGTCCTTACGCAGCGGAAAACACTTGTTTAGAGACAGCACAGATCTTTTGTATGAGACGGCTGCTGAGCCATATCAGATTGCCAAGACAATTGTGCAAGACACAGATTGATGAAAAATCAAATCTGATGCCTCCACACCTGCCGTTAGCCGTAAGTCCCTCTTCTGTCATGCTGTACAGCATCACACGTTTTGCCGTTTGATTTTCCTGCAACGCCAGTACTGATGCTCTGGAAAATCCTATTTACTTTAAAGGTCCAATGTGTAGGATTTAGCAGCATCTAGCAGTGTAGTTGAAACCCCCTTAATTCACTTTCCCTTTCCAAGTGTGAAGAAGATACTACAGTGGCTGCAAAATGCGCAAAAAGTGTTTGTCTCTTCTGGTAGAACTACTGTAGAAACACAGTGGTCCAACATGGCGGACTCCATGGGAGGCAACTTATTTTCAGCTGATCATACAATGAAAAAATACCTATGAATATTATACTGCAAACAGAATCCTACAATCCTAAAATAATACACACTGGACCTTTATTTATTTAACAGTACATCGAAATATGGATTTCACCACTGCTGAAGTTGAATTTTATCTAGATATATATCATTGACCATTTAAAGGAACAACCAACACAAACCTCCAAGACTCTGGGACCCTCTCTTATCTTATTATATTTATGGAGTAGGCTATGATGTTTATTATACTGTATATTATACTTTTTATTGAGCTACTATAATGTATTTTTAAAATTAATTTGGTGTGTTTTTCTATTGATATATATCTATATTCTTTGATCTGTCTGTGTATCCTTACAGCCTTTTTGTTGCCATGTATTTGCAGCCCAACAGCCAAACACCTGCCCTTATATAATGTTTATGGGGCATTACCTGTGCTAATAAACAATCGACCAATTTAAGTGGGATTCATCATTCAGCACACCTGGGTAAGAGCAGATTTGGATTGTTAGGAATGTTTGGTGCATCTGAAGCTGATTTCTCTTATATATTCACTTAACAGAAAATTAGGAGAAAATATAAGAGCAATTTAATAGAATGGTTGCTACACAAGGTCCATTTTTTTTTTTTTTTTACAGAATAAAGCCCAAAATAAAGTCTTTTAGTATTTTTGTACAAACAGCTCAAAGCTGTTCTGACAGTGTTGCAGCCAGCGCGCTGCTGTCGGCTGGACTCATCTCTTATTAGTGCAGAGCAGGATGTGATGAAAATGAGCCCTCCGCTCGGAGCTGTGAAACTTTTACGACCAGATTTACGGCCGCGTGAATAACTACTCCATCACATAAATGACGCAGTGCAGGAGGCTCCGCAGAAGAACCGGACTGAATAGGAAGCTCCAAAGAGTAGAGAGATCATTGAAATATTCCATAGTATAAGCATGTCTCTCCGGACAGGATTGATGCTTCCCGTGGAATTGCTGTGACTGCTTTTATTTGGCTTCTGCATCAAATCAGCAGGATTGTGTTTGACGGCTCCTCCTTTCATTATTGTGATGTCCTGCCTCTTTATCACTCCATAATTTACAGCCCGTACCTCAAAACTCACCTGCCTCTATCTAATGTCTGTCAGTAGCTCCACTCGGGGAGAGTTATCCTTTTTCTGGACTCACACACTGAAATACCGGAGCAGCCTGAGTCCAGACTGGGTTCAGGTGCAGCACGAGCCACTCTGGCCTGCTTCATTACCCTGAGTCCTATTCAAGCAGTGACAAGGAGGCTAATCCATCTTCCTGAAGAGGATCTGAAATTCTGACAGGACATGAGTGTGGAGCCATACCAATGACTGATTCTCCATGAGCAGGTATAAAGGAGTAGTAGGGCCACTGTTAGGAACACTAAATCTGGGATTATTTGAGATTTATGTGGGAATATTTTGAGGAAAAAATCTAAATATAATTAGAATAAAGCTGTAAAACTGAGAAAAGTCAAAATTTAACCTAAAATGTGACAAAATATTAAGGTTTTTTTATAGTATATTTTTCATAATTGCACATTTATCTTGCAATAGTATGACTTTTCTCATAATTAGAGGAGAAAGCAGAGTGCACACTGGATTATAGCTCCCAAAGAAGTGTTAATAGTTAATGAAAAGGGCAATGTTTCCCCTACCGGAGAACATCTTCAGAATGACATTACCAATAAAGCTTAATAAAAAGAAAGGACAATATGCTGTATACTGACTGCTTTGAGTACACTTAATTACTTCCACAACACACTGGTTTCAACAGTTACATTTAAGACCTTTTTAAGGACCATTATCAATGCAATTTTAAACCTATTTTCCTTCCATACTGGCACAAGAAGTATGAAGGATATGAAAGAAAATCGGTATTGGCTCCATGTTGATTTTGTTTTAAAAAAAAAAAAAATTTTTCTCCAAAAAACACATTAAAAAACGTAGTTGTTAAAGCAACAAAGACCAACTTTAAAGGCTGTCAAAAAAATTTAAGACATTTTTAGGCCTAAAATTCAGATTATTGGCTTATAGACTAAAGAAGCCTGATACCGATTCTGATACCTCAAACGTGCATTACAAACCTGGAAGTCTGTTCATTTTTGACGGAGCTATAATGAAACACTGCTAAGAGGTCTAAAATGTGTGACACCAACTTATTCTAATGTGACTCATCGTTCCCTTTACTGCACTTTTTATATCCAAATAACATTTGTTGATTAAACATCTGACAACGTGCTACTTTTAGTGTGACAGTCAACAGATGGAGACTCATCAGTCAGTCTGCTGACACTGACTGCATCACTGCTGCTAAATCCGTGTTTAACTCACATTTACTCTTCTCAAGGACAAAAGAAATGTGATAATTATGGAGCACCACGCTTGAAAAATCGACAACAATGTTGACACTCGATGCCTGCCAGAGCGGGCACCTTGGCACTTACACTTTGTTTTTCCTGCTCTTGCGGCGAGTGGTGAGGCCCGTTGCGGCGGGGGCGACGAGCTGGGAGAGCTCTGGCAGGGCGTCGGCCAGCGGCCTCATGTCCCCCACCACGGGCGTGGCTTGCCTCCGGGCCTCAGCCGCCTGCTGCTCCTTGGCCTGTTTGATGGAGCTGATCTCTGAGAGGGAGTGGAGAGAGAGAGAGAGAGAGGGCGAGTTACATCCAAGTTAAACAATACAATGAGAAGTGAAGCAAGAGTGAATGTCAGTGAAGGGTGAGAGGTCTCCATCTGGTATACACAGAACTCCATTTACAGAAAAATGTCAGTGGGAAGCACGCAATGGTTTAAAGGTCTAGTGAAATGAGGAACACATTTTCCAGTCTGATGCTAGTGTTTTACAAAGGCCACATTCATATAAAGCTGATAAAAACAGCCTATAAAAAGCTGTAAACACACACACAATCCAAACATAATTATAATAATAGCTATATTTTAATGACCACTGATCTACAGTATGCAGAGCTCAGCACCAGTCTGAAAGAGAAAGGAATGATAGAAAAAAGTTAGAAAGTTAGTTAGAAAAAAAACCCAGGATAAATACAACTGAACCCATAAAATATGAAGTATGTTTCCTATTTTTTATGACTTTTTTTTGTAAGATTCATACAAAACTATACTATAACTATAACCCCAACTGGTCGAGGCAGACGACCACCCACCTAGAGCCGGAGGATCTGTCCTAGGTTTCTGCCTTTTAACAGGCAGTTTTTCCTTGCCCCCGTCGCCAAGGTCTTGCTCATGGTGGAACTGTTGGGTCTCTGTAAATAATGTTATAAAGAGTTCGGTCTAGACCTGCTCTATTTGAAAAGTGTCCTGAGATAACTTCTGTTATGAATTGGGGTTATACGTTTGTTGATAATATATTCATTTAGTCATTTGAGCAGAGGTCCTTTTCTAATAATTGTGTATGGGAAAAATGCCTTTTGGGCCAGCATGCATCATATTTCAAGCTGTGTTTTATCTGTTATTTTCTGGCCTTGAACTCACCACAAACTATAATAATAAAAAATTTTAATATGTAAATAATTACACTGGGAATTCCAAAATCACTGATGAATCGTGAGTTGTGTTCTTGTTTGTAGGCTTAAGTGAGGATCAAACGTGTGTAAATCCTCACTTTATGAATGAGGCTCAATAAATGGTAAAAGTTTTCATAGTCAGCTTGAAGGCAAACATGAAATCAGCAGTTTTTTTTTTTAATGGAGGCCCTAAGGGGACACAGGGGGGAAAAAATATATTGGCTTTCCCCTGAGGAATATTTTGAGTTAGGGCTGCACATTTAATCGAATATTAATTGTGATCCCAAGTTTGGCTTCCCACAATTAAATGAACATGATCTACTACAATATTGATGTTTCAAATGCGTGCTCCGCTCATCAGACGCTTCCTAAACTAACAGCCAGCCGCCAGGGGAGATATTTTGATTTCACTTTTGGTGAGCTGTCTTGTCAGCAGCCTGAGAAAAAAATCCTGGGTGTTGCAGCTTCAGTCCGGAGTAAGAGGTAGTGATAGGCCGATTCATCAGGCCAACTCTCGGGCACTTTCAATCGGCATCAGGAGATGTCTGTGCTCTTGAGGCCAATAAACAAAAAAGGTCTTCAGACACATCTGCAGGCAGCGTTGTTGGTGTGAATCCTGCTATAAACCTATGCTTGAATTTCTTGTTTTTATATTGACATTATATATTGTTTGTATTGATTGTCTTGGTCAACATAATTGCGATACACGATATTATAATGATAATTTTAAAATGGCACTAAAAAATACTGAAATCACTTCCCCATGCATTTTGTTAAGAAACACATATATTTATTGCATCACAGATCAACACCTCATCTCCCTTTACTGTATTTTGGAATCTACACTATTTCCACAAATCCAGTTTAACAGCTTTCTTATAGGGGATACAACGGGAAAACCAAGCCTTCAGCCATGGTAACAGTTTTAGGATTTTGGAATTAGTGGAAAGATTTGGGCTCCCTCTCATCCCCTTGTTCAAGATAAACCAGGAAATCAAGACAGCTATTTCAAGTAAAGCCATGTGAAGATATTCCTGATCATCCTGATAATGGAAACTCACCACGATACATTTCTATCGCGATAATCGCGGATCGTCCCATCCCTTGCTTGTGTTTTTACTAAAAGTACTCTCTGGGGAACGCAAAAGTATTTTTTCATCTGTTTGCAATTGCTTTCCACCCATGTATTTCTTTTCTCCCCCATCTTCCCTAAGGGCCTCAGTAGTTTTTGCTATCAAGGTATTGTAGAAAGGCCATGATCTTGTATAACCAATGTCGGGAACATACAGTACAGGCTTCGACTACACTTCTGTTCTGTAATGACATAAGGAAAATATGTCTGGTATTGCTCAACCAGAATCCTAGTGGTTTACTAGGACTAAAAATCAACATTGACTAATGTGAAAACTCTTAACAATCACAAGCCTCAAACACTGGCATTAGCCTGTAAAAATCCACACTGGTCAAACTGCGCTGTCCTTACCATGTGTACATGATCTGAAATAAGCTAATATTTCATTCTAATTTTCTCCTAATTCCTGAAAACTGTCAGCCATGGAGCCGCTCTCGGGTTTCAGCAGGACCGAGTCGCACAGCCATTAGCACCTAATTATACGCCTGAACAGGATATGTGTAGTGTTACCCGAGAATTGATTGGCTCAGCACAAGGGTACGGTTACAGGCCTGATCGCAATTATGGGAGATGATGGCGGCAGTGATGATGTTGGTGGTGTTGGGGAGAGGAGTTCTAATTACAGAAAGACTCAAAGACGGACCTTCAGCCAAAACTCACAGACTCACTCGTCAGCTAGAAAGTTATTGAATAGATGGCTAAGATATTTGCGGTGATTACTGCAACCTCATAAAGCAGGTAAAATGAATCTTCATTGTATGTTTAACAATATGAACCCTAAGACACGAAAGACTATATTTAGTATGATATGGAAAAGTGCCATAATATTTGTTCTGATTGGTCTAAAGTCTTGAAATTTGGTACAGACATACTTTGGGTAAGTAACTAACAGTACAAATTTGATGACATTTTTATATCAAATGAAATATCACACTTTTATCAATGGACAATGTCAGGATATTTCTAAAATTTTGTGTTTTCCATATCAATCTTTTTTTACACTGCAAATGTGTGCATACCTTTGACATCGTCGTTGATTGAGATACAGCCAATTTCTTATCATACTATATTTAGTCTTTATTTTTTCCTAAAATTGGAGAAAATGCCCAAAAACAGATACAAATTAGAGATTTCATTATTTTCAGTACACACATGCAACAGGCTCCTATCTATATATATTCCATACAAATAAAAGTTACACCCAACTATTATTAGTCATACAGAAGGTGAAAACATTCGCTTGAGGGAGCATTTTCCATTGGCTTCAGTGTTATTTCAACAGTTATTCATCCTAACATTGTAACTTCATTCATAGTGGACAGAAACAAAATCTCACCAAACACAGTCTTTGTTAGTCTTTCCACTGTTCCAACAATCACAAACTCTGCTTTTGTCGAAATAAAACCTTCATTCAGCGACGCAGATGAGAAAAACAGCAGTTTCAGTCGCTCTACTCAGTTACTGGAGGGACTCACGTGCACTAACATGCGTGTGCGGTCAGACCGGCTTTGTAAACAAACCACAGAGAGGTTTCAATAGCAACACAGGCAGAGGGCGCATGATGTCACTCTCTGCTCAGGACACCATGACTCCACTATATCTTTACATAGCTAATAGCTTACTGTTATATTAATGTTTTAAATCTCATATACATAACCTTTAAGCTTACTCCTGCTCTTTTCATTATTCCCATCAGTGTACATAGTCTTCAGTTTCAGGTATCAGTGCTCATTTTCTTCAGCCAGTCACTTCCACAGTGCTAGATAATCCATCAAGCCATTATTTAAATATAGTTCACCGCTGCTATTAAGTTTTTCTCTTTTTGCTGCCAATCACCTGATACTCATGGGAAGAAACGGAAGTCTCATAAAACGTAGTCCCTACTGCCAAACAAACTAACTGGGGCAAGAAAGGGAGAGTCTGCAATAAACAAAAAGAAAGCTAAATAAAGCAGACACACTAGAGGGACAATTTACAGTTGAATAAGATTTGCTTGTCTAAAATGTAATTTAAATGTATTGCATAAAAATGTACATCCCAGGTTCACTGTTAGAAGAAAGAGTGGTACACCATATAGTCAGAAGTGCTATTGTTAAGTGTAAATAATGTCTCACTCTATCAGTGTGGTATCTGCCAACAGTGTCTGTACATTCCTACTAAAGTGCTGAGTGTTGATATAAACTCACTGTTGAGCCATCTCTCCCGCCTCTCCTTCATCTTCTCTTTCTTTGGCTTGACTTTCTTCTCTTCTGGGCCTGTGAAAACACACACACACACACACACACACACACACACACACACACACACACACACACACACACACACACACACACACACACACACACACACACACACACACACACACACACACAAACACAAAGTTACGTGACAGCACACATCAAATCCGGCTGGGCTCCACTCAGCAGAGGGAGAAGGCTGCTAATTAAACATGAAGAGAGGCAAATTCATAAATGTGTTAAAGATACATCAAAGGTGGCGAGGGAATGACTTGGCCGTGAGCTACAGCTCCACCCCCCTCGACCCCTCCCTGAGTGAGAGCAGTGAGAGGGATCGCAACACACTCTGAGCTGTGTAACACACAGGCACACTTTTGTTCTTGTGGGTTTTTTTTCGCCCTTTTATTACAAATGAGGTCTGAGGGGTATTTGATGCGTCACTTTTAAAGCGGCAACAGGTAACTTTTATTAAAAAAATAACTTTTTGTCATATTTGCTGGAACTTTCACTTTATCCAGAGTGTAGTACATGAGACAGTGCTCCTAATGAATCCACCGTGCCTGTTCCAAAACAACCGATCAGAGCCAAAAAGGACATTTAATTGCTGAGTCTCATTCCCAGGCTGTCAAATACCAATGCTTTGGGTCCCAAAGCGGCACCCCGGGCAATACCAAGACCCCCACTCACTAATGGCACCTCAGGCAGCACTGGTATAACTTAAAAACGGATACAGGTGGCAACCAATTATTTATCCCATAATTAAATATTATTTAATGTTTGGAAGAGGCAAAATTTCCCATTTCCAAAATGGAATAGAAATGTAGAAATAAACACACTGGGTGCGCTGAAGATAGAGTAAGCTGCAAGTCAACAGTCCTATCTGCTTTCTCCCTTTGTGGGAAGAACATCCCGGGGCTGGAAGGGAAAGTTTTTTTTTTTTTAAATGTTATTTTATCAGCAAAGCCACCTTGAGGTTCCCTGTGGTCAGGACATCCTCAGAGGCAAGAGAGAGGCCCGGGTGGCACAGATATACTGTGACAATATGTGTGTGTGTATTCTGCTTTAAACCTCTGGACAGATATTCTAATCTAGCAGTAGTCCAGCTGTAAAGTAGCAACTGACTTGTGTTTTTTTGTTTTAAAAAAAGAGAAAAACACAGTTGGGAATGACGTGGAGGTGTAAATGATATATGCATGGATTCTACTCGGTATTTATTCCCCGTTCTGCTCTTCATCCCGTAACAGCAGAGAGGAGTAACACTGATAGAGGATGATCATGTACAGCCATGTAGCTTGGAAAAAGGAAAATGACCACACCAAGAACAACATCAGTGATTGGGCTTTTTCCATTATCTGTTCTGAGCAACCCGTGACAGTATTTTCTCCGACTGTATAACTTCTTCTGCTTTTTCTCACTGTTTGTGTCTTCATCCCCTCAGTTTTGTGATAGAAGATGGGAAAATAGAAGTGAGGGAAGTGAAAGAAAAGATGTTACCCTGTGAATAATCAGTGCTGAGGTGCCTGAACTAGCGCAGTGCTGGCACATGCCCACCAGTAGAGAACTGGTTATACTGGGCAGCTTTTACATTTGAAAATGCATGAAGAGGGTCTTGCTATGTACTTTGCTACACAGTCAGGTTGTTTTTGTCGGAAATGCTGCAAGTATTACCTAAAATGAAAGTCTATGTACCAATCCAATATCACATACTTTATCTTTATCTTTATCTAACCCTGCTATTACCCAGCAGGTCAGGTTATTATTGGGTAGAGGATATAGAGGAGTAGAGAAAGTATGACAATTGAATAATTTATAATTATTATTATTAGAATATAAATTAGAAATTTACACATTGAGTCACACATAAGTAAACATTTTGTGGATTTTCATTGCAAAGTTAAGAAGACTCACATTGTCAAATCTACTCTAATTAGACCTAGTGCGAAAAGTTCATTGATTTTGGTTAAAAATACACTGTAAGGAATAAGGTAAATTATCAAATAAAAGCCAGTTTACACATAAAAGCCAGCGTGAACAACTAAAGATGCTTTCATAATGTTCATTTCCACAACTCTGCTGTCCCGCATTTGTATTATAAAAGAAATGGGGGTTTCATTCACTTATTTATTTCAATCCTTCTACTTTTCGATCAATTAAGATATTGTCAATGAAACTGGAATTCTCCTGCAGGTGTTTCAAATCAACAGCTTATCACAAAAGTGACGAGTATGAAGGGAAATGTTAAATTACAGTCACAGTAGCTTAACATAGAATGTAAGAAGCAGAAAGTGAGAGCAGCAGAGTGGTGAGTGTGACGTAACTCCTATTGTATTGATGGAATTAGTGCTGTGGAAATGCATATTATATAAAAGTAAATTCATCAAGACAACAGCTAAAATGCAGTTCAGAAAACGAATGAGATTGAGTTTAGAAAACTAAAAACTATGATGAAATCAATTAGGTTTGCAATACACAACTGTTTAAAACAGACTCTTTATTTCCTTACCTCCCCATATAAAGCCAAATAAAAGGGCCACAGCCACTACTTGAGAATGAATGGATCTAATCTGGGTAATCTGGGGGTTGGATAATGAAACAAAACACTGACTGTTGGATGAACTTCAGCCATCGGCTCCGTGCGTGTGAGCAGTGTGTGAACAGATCGATGGGCCCTTCCCTGAATGAAGCGCAGTATTGCGGTGATGTATTATTATATAGCCTGAAGGCAATGACTTTGTAATTAACAATGCAGTAAAGACCTTGACCACCATTTCTTAGGAATGGCATGAGGGTGACAGCAGATACAAGAAGGATGATATATATATAAAAAATCTATATATATATATGGATTTGATGCAATTTATGTGTTTATTATATATCTATTACAGACTGATCAATTGCACACTATAATGTATGTAGGCTATTAAAGTTTTCAGTATGAAATAAGGTAGATAAGATTTGAAAAGGCACAAATGTATGTTAACAACTTCCATCTAACACCCATTTAATCTGGTATTTTTTCATCTATTCCAGTAAATCTGACATTTAGTTTGACATTTACTGCAAAAAAACCCTTTCCCTGCTCAAAATACCTCAATGTGATCTCACATGAGCTCTGCCTGCAAGTTATCCACATACGATAACATTCTCTAACCATCAAAATGGACCCAGTATTGCTGCGTACATTCTAAACAAATATCATTTTTGGCTGTCTTATAGTTTTCTTCTCCTCATTATTGAATGTAAACGAAATGGTGCAATGACGTGCCTGGCCTTGTTTCTATCCATTGATTGGTGTCAGCTCTAGCTCGGTGGAGTTCAATGGTCAGAGGCAACAGATAGGGCACATGTCATTTCAATGAGCACAGCGGGGTGTGATGAGTCCTGGCCTGTCCCAGCATCAGAACAACAGCGTGCTGGCCGATTGATCCTATTTAGCTGAACTTCAGGCATGACGACTGGAGCAGCAGATCACAGCTTTTATTTCAGTCCACTGTTAGAAAAAATGGCCTGTGTTATTTTGGTCTAATGCACCAAACAAAAGGCTTCCTAAAAATGGAACTGTGACTTCATCTTTAATTTCTAAAGGCAATCTGGGGCTCTGCTTAAATACCATTTGTTGAATTACAGTGGATATAAGTTGTAGTGGTTTATAAGTTCCGTTTCTGAGAGGCAGCTGCGTTCAGTGTTGGTGGCCATGACTAACAGCATGTCTAGACGGGAACTTCATTCACAGGATGAGCACGGCTACAAAGCTTTGTCAGGGCTCCACAATCCCAGACAGCCTTATCAAAGTACAAGATTAAAGATAATTTTTTTTTTTTCCGACTCAACCTTGGTCTTGTTGTCTTTTGTAGTTTGAGGCATCATTCCTATCAGTCAAGACAACATTACTCATCAGCTAATGACAACCACACAGGTTTCAAAGACCCTAAAAAAAACGTTTCTCAATCATCTTCAAACTCCAAGAGATGGGGTCCTACATGAACACACAACTATCTGTCAAAGTTGGAACAGCTTTGTTTATCTCACACGACTTTTACTATCTAGGCTGTGTTTTTGTAGTGTGGTATAAGACTTCTGAATTGTCAGTCACACCATAAAAACATCTCATTCGATGTTAACAAAAACACAAGGACACTAAGAAAACCTACCTATGAATGTTCCCCCCAGTAGAGCCTCCTAAATGTTACACATCGGACATTTAAATTGACTTAATGAAAAACATGAGCTTCTCCTACCATTCACAATGTGTATTGAGCAAATATAACATTTACCATATTCAGCATCTTAGTTTAGTGAGTAGCAATGCTAATATTTGCTAATTAGACTATGGTGACCAGACATCCTGGTTTGTCCCAGATCGACAAACATCTCTAAAGCACTAAAATGTCAATCAATGTGTCATTCTCAAGCCTGTCGCTAGCCTGTGAGTCATAGGCAAGCAATAGCTATGACTTTCTGACAGAGAGTATGCTAACAGTTAGCTGTCATGCTAAAAAGAAAGTCAGCCTTTTCTGAAGAGCTCCAGAAGGCTTACACTTTGATGGTGTCCATGGTCTTGAAAGGTAGGTGTGCTAAACACTGAAATAATTATCCCCCTTCCTGATGAAAACACCTATGGCACAAGCATTAGCGCATACGTGTGCACATGCATGAACAGTAGGTACACTTTTAAGGTTTTAAGGTTTTCTCAGTTTGGAGGTTTGAAAATATAGTCACCTTAAATAAGCAAGTAAAGCTGAGGCTGAATGTTATTAGTTTTGCAGGTATTTGGTCATATATCGAAGTATTGGACAGATAAATCTTTTGTCCTGATGATGGTGGTAGATGGCAAGTCGAAGGACCACCCAATTCAGTAAGCATCGTCCTCTGGAGACCATGCAAGTCTGTGCAAAAATATCATGACAATCCATACAATAGTTGTTGAGATACTTCAGTCTGGAAAAAAAATGGCAAACCAACTGACATCCCTAGAACCACGCTGCTGAACAGATTTTTTTAAAGTTGGTGAGGTAAAT